TGACGTAATTTAATATTTAATCACGGTATTAAACCTGAAAAAGTGGCTGCTTCTCTCTCTCTTCTTTTTCTTTCTTTTCTTTTTTTTTCCTCCTCCCCTCCTCAAGCTGGCCACTCCTCCCCCCCCCCCCCCATCCCTTCCTGACTTATCCGTCTGCGGGAGCGAGCGGCAGAGTTAGCGCCGGACTCCTCCCGCTCTGCCCGCACACCGGGCACAAGTTTTCGCCGTCCGGGACACTCGCAGACGTGATCCTCAACTAAAAAAGCATCCACGGCGACCACAGCTTAGCTCCACACAGCTTGGCTCCCTTCCTGAGCACGTGTACTCTCAGCCCCGTGCCCCTTTTCTCCACTTCCCTCTCCAAGTGGTTGCAAGAGAGGATAGAAGTGAGAAATTTAGTTTGTGTGTGGTTTTTGTTTTGTTTTGTTTTGTTTTGTTTTGTATTCCTGCCTACACACGTCTGCTTCTCACCCCTGTCCAGCGGCAGGATGCTAAGCAGGGGCGGATCCGCGTGGCTGCAGCATCCTTTAACGCACCTGGCAGGGGAATGTCCCAGGCAGCCCCCAGGGCGGGAAGGGGGGAACAGGGGCCACGGGGTGGGGGGGGTTGAAGCCACTTTGTTTCCCCGTGCTGTGGTCCCAGCAGTTTCCGTGTGACTGGGAAAGGTTTATTCCTTGCCTCTATGAAGGAAAGACCAATTGGAACCCTGGAAATCACACAGTCCATAAGTATGATGGAACCTGGCAAATGAGAACTGCCCGCCTAAAAACCTAACACAAACACATAAACAAAACAAAACAAAAACAAAAACAAAAACAAACCACAACAAAAAACACGAGAGAGAGAAAAGTAATTAAAAGAGAGAAAACGACCGACAAGAAATTAAACTTTTCATTTGAAGTGTTCGTGGGTCTTCATTTGGAAAACGGAGTCAGGTCTCTGTGTGTAGAGACCTTGAGGGACAAGGGTTGAGATATTTACATGAACAAAACTTTCCACCTACCGCGTTTGGCGCAGTAAGCGCTAGCAATATTCCAGACTAGTAAAACACATTCCAGAGCGCAGCTCTCTTCAGAAATGTGGTGGCTTGCTTGAGATTTGCCGTAGTTTAGTGAACATTTTTTTTCGCCTCTGAAGGGTTTTGGAGTTGAAAGACCACAGCAAAGCTTAGCATCCCGGGGTCGGGATTGAGCGGATTTCCCTCCAGCTTTCCTCTGTCCCCCCTCCCCCCAACTCTCCAAGCGTAACCTGCGTTATATTTTAAACAAAACAGGAGTTAGCAGCGCGGCTGTTCTGCTGTACGCCCGCGCTAGTTAGCAGCAGCAGAAGCCTGCGAGGTACCTCAAGAGAAGAAAAAAACTAACGCTAAAACGAGCAACAAGTTAATTCGGCAAAACTTAAACTTTGCTGGCTGCCTTCGGAAGAGTCCGATCCGACCAAGATTGTTGGCTCCATGCCTGCAGCGGCACCCCAATCGTAAGAGTGCTACAGGGAGCGTTTTTTTTTTTTTACATCCTTCTTTTAATAAATACCTGTTTGTCCGAATGGACGCCTTTGGAAAATGGATGTAGAAGCAACACTGTCTTGGAGGTAGGGAAATGAAAGTGTTTACCGTATTTAGTATTCATTTACTTATAGTGGGAAATGATTAGGTATGTACTAATATAACCGTGGAGACCAACTGCCTAATTAGCATTTACAAATTAAAATGTTAAACATAAAGACATATTCCGTATACAGTCTGCTATATGTAAAACACATTCGTGCATAATACGGCAGTCAGCTGCAAACGTGAAGTTGACTGGCTTCCAGATATGTGGTGTTCTTGGCTAATGTGAGCTTCTCTGGGTTTTTCAAGCTTACCCATGCTGTAGTTCATAGTTCTTATGACCACCTTGATAGCTGCACTAGGGATATTACACTAACCAATCTGGAGAAAATAGGAAAATACACAGATTACTTTTAAAGGCTGACGATAACAACGATAAACACAATAGGCAGGCAGATCATTTATCCGTACCTTTTATTCTGAAGGCTTCACTCGGAACCTTATTTATTGTTTTGAGCATAACAAAGCATTTCGGGTTCTGTAATAAATTAGAACAATAATACAGAACTGCACATGCAAAGCAAGATAGCTTTTGAAATAGGGGTCCTTTCTTTCCCAGCTGCATAATTTTGATATTACCCAACGTGTCGTGCTCAGGGTTCACCTCACACAGACTGTAATGAGAGTTGCCAAATGAATGGAACAATCTATCTGTTGACTTGAGCTCAACATAGACATATTACATATGATGGAAACCTAATGCTCCCATCGGTGTTAAAATCAGAGGGATATATAGTTCCAATCCAGACCCTTGAACATGTAGATTTTTATTTATCAGAATAATTGTGCATGTAGCGACATAAAAAGGGGATTTACAAGTTGGAGTCTTTTAAAAGAGACTGTGAAAACCTTAGCCCTGCTTTTATTAGACATGATATCATTCCGATTTGCGTGCTTGCCATCTCAATGGCTTTTCACATGTGGAAAAAAAAAAAAAGATCCATATGCATTACATAGATTTTCTTTTACTCGCATAAGGACTGGCAGCCTTTTAGTGGATAAGAGGGTGAATAATTGTGATACACCAGAAAACAGTTCGTGCAGTTTGGCAGCTCTGGTTATTATTATTAGATTTTTTGACATTTGAACTTGTCTATTGTCTAAGGAGCTCAGTGCAGATTGCAGTAGGTCAACCTTAAGGCTGCTCTTTTTGGCATTGCACACAAACATGCACACGCTGTCTGTTCTCCTTGTGTGAATGCAGCAGCTACAGTTTTACAGTGCCTTTTTTTTTTTTTTTTTTTTTTTTTTTTTTTTTTTTTTTTTTTTTTTTTTTTTTTTTTTTTTTTTTTTTTTTTTTTTTTTTTTTTTTTTTTTTTTTTTTTTTTTTTTTTTTTTTTTTTTTTTTTTTTTTTTTTTTTTTTTTTTTTTTTTTTTTTTTTTTTTTTTTTTTTTTTTTTTTTTTTTTTTTTTTT